TTTTATATTTCTTTTTTCGTTACGTAAGGTGATGCTTACATTCATACGGATTATCAGTAACACAATAGTATCGTTGAATCTATCGTTACTACAAATTTATCATTTGGAGCAGTGATATATAAAAACCAGAGTTGAACAGAATTTTGTTTCCTGCATTAGGGGTTTTAGTAGTTTTAATTATTCGTGAATATTATTAAATTTGATTAGAATCGATATTTTGCTATGGTGTACGAGTCAATGAGCGATATTAATGTATAAAAATCCAGAGTCGAATTATTATTATTATTACTGGATTTACAGAATGCTTAGGCCAGTGACCCTATGATAGATTTATGTATAATTTTAGTACAATATACTTAACCTTAAATGGGCAAATCTATAGGAAGTTCATAATACGAAAATACTCACAAATACTATCCATAACATAAAAATGTTACAGATATGTGACTTTGTATAATGAAACTAATATGAAATAATGTAAAATGAGTCATTCACAGGGCAAAGTAATTAATTCCACTTTCTGAATTTCTTAAAATTCTAGCGCCAAAGTAACTTGATTAGTGCTTAATTATATAATTTTACTCGTTTTCTCTACTTATTGTTTTGTGAAGTTAATTACTTTGCCAAATGAACGTCTAAAATATGAAACACTGGTCATTCAATCATTCATTAAGTTATCAGTTCATCAATTTTTCGATGATATGAAACTTCGAGCCCTGTGGTACGTTCTCCATGCAATCGTATAATCGAAACGCGATATCCGATAAAGGAAAATTCAATTTCCCCTCAGTCTTCGTGGAACGTTGACCAGACAGTAATTACTGAGGTAATATAATATTAACCATGGGCACGCACGTATGAATTTCAGTTCTGCACCTTTGTTTCATTTCTGCGCGCTTTTATTTAACCCTGCCCCGCGCATAGACTACACGTAATTAAAATTAATTCGCTCGCTCGCGAAAAATTCCTTCAAATATTCGCTTTCCCGGCTACGTGGAACCGCGTAAAAAATCTCTTAATTTACCACTGTAATTTACTCAACTTCACCGGTGAAATTTCAAAAAATCCTACGAACGTTGAAGACAGAAAGATCTGGACCTGGACCACGCGATTATTTTGTTAAGGAGTTTTTCATTAAATCCGAGTGAAACACATCTTCTTTTTTTATCTAATATAAGAAGTATACATATAGGAAATAGGTCTCTAGAATCCCTGGTGTATAAATACTTAATGAATAGAGGATCAATACCACAGATTCCACATTCAATTAATAATTTCTACTGACAAATCAATCGTAGCAATCTCTGAAATATGTGACTCGATATACAACATAATAAGTATAATAAAATCGAATAAGGGAATTTTAGTAACTCAATAATGACCCGAACGATCGTCAGAGATAAAAGGGGGAGCCTGAAATGCAGCGAGTGTTCTGTTAACGCAAGGACTTAATAACAACGCCCGGAAGCTTCGAACAATCCTAAAATGAAATTTTTCACCCGGCCACGCGTTTAAAGCCGAATAAAACCGTAATTAAAAGTCGCCCCATTCTTATTGGCGTCAAACGAAATTGCGCTCTGGTGAGAATCGCATTAAAATGTTTTCGGTCCCTACTCCCATTCCCTAATCTCTGGTCCGGCAGTAAAAATTCGGCATAACTCGCGTTGACGTAATGAAGTCTCGAACGGACTCATCGTCCGTACGAGAACGAAGAAAAGAGTGGTTGATTAATCGCATGCAAATGCTCGATGACGACGACGCCTCGTAAGGGGGTCTTGTACTTTGTCAGAAAAACTCGTCAACGGGGCTCTTTGTAAAGGTCGGATGAACACTATAGGAAAAGGGGATCTCAGCGGAGTATCAACCGTATACGAAGTTATTCTTCCGCATTATATGCTGTGAATCGATAGTTTCGGAAGTTTGAGGTAACACCGATGTTATAACACCTGAATGTGCGTCAATAGTATCTATTATGGTCTATTCTTTGAAAGCATCTTGCATTACACGTGGGTCATTCGAAAACTTCTGGAAGAAGAGTAAAAAGACAAATTATATTATTTTCAAAATATTTTTACTTTTCGATACAATCCTCTTTTAACGCTAATTCACTTGGACTGACGATATTCCAATTTTAGAGACAAACGTTCTAACACTCCTGAGAGACTTACGTTCGAATTCATTTCTGATGAATTGTTAGGAGACACGATACACAACAGAGAAATTCTTTTGTTCAAGCAGCTGTATGTAATATACAGTTGTTCACATAACAAATGAAAATCTTCGATGGACTAAACATTTCAGAACTACCCATGATATCGATACTTCATTTCGTGAACGCCACTTCGAGCATCTCCTATGACACAAGAAATGTCTTTTCGCTCCATTATTTAATATCGAATGACCTTGTACCATAGGTCTTTGAGATCGTCTAAGCATCCGCTATTCTACTAGGAACAAGAAAGTATGGTATTCCATTAAAAAAAAATAGAGGTGACCTTACAAATTTCCGAGAACCCTCCATAAAAAAAAACTATTACTGGTGTATTATGGCCCCCGAGGTACCGTACAATTCTGGCAAATAAATTTTGTTCATATCTCTAAAAATGAGCCGTTCAGAGGCCAAAGTGTCTAACTCCTCTTTTTGAATTTTTTCGAATTTCAGTGCTGAGGCACTAATACTGAATTTTGTATTGTTAAAATAAATTTCTTTGATATATTTTATGGACTCAATCACTTTAACAAATGAATGGCTCAAATAATGGAAATATTCTAGATGGTCAAAGTCATTAGTCCACCCCGTACATTTTTGTACTTTCAATCCCTTCTTATTTTTATTATATATTGCCTTATAATATATCACCTTAACGAAAATTTTTGTTATCAATTTTCCTCGACTGTGCAATCACCATTTTGCGCAAACTCGACCGCAATCGACTCTAAATACCATGAAACGAACGGGTACACGCGGACAAAGGGTTAAGTCGTTAGAATTACGGACGTCGCGGCCGCGACACAACGAGGAACGTCGTTAATTTCGGAATAATCGCCGCGTATTGACGCCGAGGGTAGGGTAGAGAACGGCCAGCTCGCTCCAATTTAATATGGAAATCCCGCTACGCCCTATCGAGAAAATCAATTACGTCTAATGAATACAACATGAAGGGTTAAAGGGTTCGACAGGAATCTGCGCGCACTTTTCCCGCGGTCGCCCAGGGGGAGCGGGGACGAAATTTCGAAGTCGGCGAACACGATTTGTCAAAAGTTAATGGCCACGACAGATTTCATCGAAGACGATTTTATTAAAACACCAAAATTTACTGGCTTCTTATGCTCTATAAAAGTATGCATAAAATGGCAACAAATTTCGTTTTTAAATAAATAAACGAATTATTCTTGGACTAAAAAAGGCCAAAAAAATAACAACAATGAAAAATCATTGTTAGACTTCTCTTCTTAATTGAATTAATACAAAGTATAACATATTACAAGCAATCCTTACATTTCCTGTACTACTAAATAAAGTTCGTCATTTCAACATGGAATACCATTAAAATAAAAGTATGTATGAAATTAAAACTATTCCTTAGATTGCAACGTTCATTTTCCAATACGGGAACTTCCACGGAAAACGTAACAAGGAAACCGAAGTTCACTGCAGAACAAAAGTTTTTCAAATTCTGTAGACTTATGTAACAAAGGTCAATGGTTCAGTCGGTCCTATTCAAGCATTTCTATAAGCCAGAAAGAATAATGCAACGAACAGGCGAGTCGGGTTACGGCATTAATGAATGTTCCTTTGTCGGTATGTAAAAGGCGTAATATAATTATCGTGCGTTGTCAGTCGTGGCTGAAAGGAGGGTAGAAAAATTCAACGTGATATATATTTTTTAAATAGAAGGCTAACGATCTGCCTCGATTCGTTCTACACTCGTAGATTACTACGACCCGTAGATGGTTGGTTAAGGCTCTTCACACGTTACGACTTATTCTGTTACGGTTACGTCTAATGAATACAACATGAAGGGTTTAAAGGGTTCAGCAAAAATCACTGCGCCCGCTTTTCCCCCTAGAATCGAAAACCCGACTAACCGAATTCACGGTCGAGTGGCCCTGAAGAAGGCACGATTTCGAAGCTGAAATGCAAACAACAACGAATTGCATTAAGAAACACCACATTGCGTCAATTAAGTGGCACAGAGGGACCAGGCGGCGTCTCTCGAATTTATGATTTAGAACCTAATGGGTGAAACACGAAAAGCATTTCAATGAACGTTATAAAAATTCTTTCGAGACCGTTATGTTAGATTATTGGAGAGTAAATGGCTGTTTAATAGAGATCCAGGTAACTACTGTGTTAATGGAGTGAATGTAATCGAATTGCTGCAGCTAATGATATATCGTTGTAAATGTTCGTTAACCCCTTCTAGTGAAAGGACGAACCTATCTTTTGCCATAAGCTTTCTATGTCGAAGTCAAGGTTGAACAAATTTCATTTCGAATAACGAATAAAGTTCCAGGATGTATTTGCGATTAACAAATAAAGAATAATGATATATATTCAAACATAATATGCAAAAACTGGACCCTCATACTGTTTCCCTTGTACTCTTGAAACAAAAACACCTTTAAAACATTTTCTTACATTTTCACCCGGATAATTAAATATCCTTCATTCGTTGAACTTAAACTAATACCCATTACATCCTCAAACTTTCAAACCAATCAACACCTACAACAGAAATGGCCCCTCGAACAAATTCCGTATTGATTTCAAACGGTACACGAATACACCCCGAAAATTGCTCCAGAGACTACGGAACGTTGTCCGACCAGACCTCTTTATTTATCCAAACGAAGATTCCGTCATTTTCGCTTTATTTACACGAAAGTAAATTCGGAGGCAGACCGTGCAGTGCAACGTGTGTAAACACGGGTCGGAAGCAAACACCGTGGCGGTTGAACGACCCCAGAGAAAAAGAAAAAGAAAACAGTGGACTCACCTTCGCAGGATCAGACTTCTCCGACTCGTCGTTGAAGGTCTGCGATCCTCGGGACATGGTGTTCCTACGGGGTGTCGTGGTGCCATCTTGCGAGGGGCGCACAAACTCGATTCTACCACCCTCGACCACGATGTTAGGGGCTGGTGGAAAATTCTCCGCGTTACCGACCGGATCGCAGTAACCCAGAAGCCCCGCCTTTTCGCCGTACAGGGGGTGAATTTGTCTGCAACAGTCGGTAAAACATTCAGGTTTTGTTACAGGGGTTGAAACCCAGGTGAAGCAGAACGGAGATAAATGTACTTTCTGTTGGTCATGTTCACTGTTACCGACAGCTATGATTTTTGGACCACAGTGTTCTGGCACTGTCAGTTCAGACACAGACGAGGTAAGGTCCCTATTTCTAATCATGTCCAGATTTCTGCTCAGTACGTATATATATTTTATTTAAAGTAAAAAGTTAAATGATATATTAGTTATACGAAAAATTATTTAAATTAGTTCTGTGTTTTCATACAAAATTCTACAGCCCACGGTTCAACAGATGGCAGCATTTTAATAGAAATAAATTTAATAAGTTTGTCCGCCGTAAAGTGGATTGAGGTGATTTGATTATTATTAACGTGATATGAGCGGTTCCGTTGTGATCGTGAGTTATGATAAACTTTAGCAGTAAGTTGCTCCGAAAAATGAAATTTAACCTGCCTGTGCAGCCCCTCTGATTGATAGCAGTAATTACAACCATTCACCGACAATTAAAATCGTTCACCGGATATTGTAACTCGTTCGTTACTTTTGTCCGCGGAACGAACCAAAAGTGAATCGCCGGTAATTGAAACGCTAAAACTGTCGCGAATGCTGCAAGATAATTTGTACGCTGTGTGGATTTCGATCGGGCACAATCGAATTTATTAAACGACAACGAACGGAAACAGCTTCTGACCGGGAAGCGTGGGGATGAAACGCGTTACCGGCTAACAATATTAAAAAGTGATTTACGTTTAATCGACTCGCCGATAAATTTCCGTTCACAGAGTTTTCCGATGAGCACGCGTTAAGTCTCTCTCGTACATGAATCATACCGGATATACGTATGTATTTTAGATCATTTGTTCCCGTTTTTGTAATAAACGTTGTGCAAAGAATGATTAAATTTACGAGCATTATCAATCATTTGAGATTAGTAGTGAAAATAATAATACGAGTAATTCAATCTTATTAGACGCATAATGAACTGTGCTGGAAAGACGTTAATGGTAATCTTATGTTCGAATACGTATAAAGGTCAAAAATACACACGACAAACTGTAATTAAGACATTCACCGTAAAGCAATAAAAACTATTTTCGGGGGGAAAAAACATTCATTGACACTAAAACAACCTATCATATACAAGGATAGAATAATTACGAGAAGAAACCAGATATTTGTGATTATTGTTCAAATAATCATTTTTGAAAAATTGTTCAAAAACGCAACTATATTATCCATAAAATAAAAAATTGGAATGTTTCTAAAATATATGAATCTAAAGAGAGTAAAGCAATCAAGATACGTCGATGGTCTATAAATTCATTACAAATGACTACATAGCACTATGGACATATGACTTTTAGTCAATTAATAAGAGTGCAGCTGGAAATACAGGGTCGAGGATTCCCATTAAATTCTCAGCAAAGGCTTCTTGATGTGGTCACAACGGATTAAAAGCGACGCCGACCGATAAAGCGAAAAAAACGACGACCTGAAAATTGGATTACTGCTAGTTAAATTTCCGTGACAGACGCTCGCCATTAAGATGAACAAAGGGAGTCTGCATGCAATTCAGTCTTTTTATTTTCCTGTACCTTCTGTAACTTCATCGCAGACGAGCAAAAATGTTTCGTAACGACAGTTCCCGTAACGACATGGAACTTGAAAATTGTAATTAACGCATGATGTCCCTTTTCACAGTCAATTAGCAGCCTTGCACAAGGAAACTTTGCTCATCATGTTCGCTTATTAAAATGTTACACAACTTCTCGGACCTAATTCTACATTTAACATTCTGAACCACTTACAACCAGTAACATGTACCGAGTTATGTCCACTGACTTAAGTTGGTTTAAAATCCATTTTTAAGTCCACGTGAAAAAGGGGGTAGATGAAACTTATGATGCCATCGATGTAACTTCGGTTATATCTACGCGATTGGATTCTATTTACCTTCTTTTGGGTCTCCACTCGTAACAGCCCGTATTGTTCTATTGTTCTCGATAAAGTACTCTAGATAATGGATACTACAAAAGAAATTCAACACTTATCACGAATTTCAAAAGTTTTAACACTAAACCTACCGAACCCTTCAAAAAGGTAGGAATTAGAATGGCAAAACCAGTCATTTGAACGGTCGTGGTAGGTTTAGTATTAAATATCGAATCATATTCGAACTGATTCGAATTGTTCACCATACGTGCATATTCGAAGCAGTTCCAAGTGCTTCAGAGCCCCCATTACTAATTACAAGTATGAATATATATGATCGACTATTATAAGAAGAATGTGTCTGTATGGATTAATACGTGAAATTATTGCCGATTATACTTCAATTCCGTGGTTAATCGGTTTACAAACAATTTTAAAAGAGCATAAATTTTACCGCAACCGAGCCCCGCAAGATCTATTTCCGTACCAACGAAAGAGTATATAAAATAGTTCTTATCGTTTATAGAGAATTGCCATTAAAGTCTGAATCGAGCTCAGTCCGGCATAAAAGTTAACGCGATAAAAGAAACCGACGGTACCTGGTACGTACCGAGCTTAACGGTGATCCAAGGGTTCCTATAAACTTTACGTTTATTATACAACGATGTAGCCTGTTTTATGCCATTGATTTTTACGATGTACAAACACATGTCTATCCTTCTTCACGTCGTGCAATTACATTATTTTTTATATCGGTAAGACACTTTAGGAGAAATAACACACACGTATCGTATAAACTGATGAATACATTATAATTTCCTAGCAGTATGGGATGGATACATAAATAACCTTCGCCATAAATATTGAAAAATTATGAAAATATAATTAAATAACACGAAAATATAAATGTTTAAATTAAATGCTGATTCCGGATTTGACTAATGGTGAAAATAAAACGTGCTGGATCGACACAAATTTGACAAGAAAATGGGAATTATTTTTCACCAACCTGATATTGTAAAAGTATGGGTAATATGTAGTAATAAAACGTAGTAGATCGACATAAATTTGTGACAGGAAAATTATTTGTGACCCACCTTGTATCGGAAAATTATTTTTATACAATACTCATGTAAGTTACCACTTATAGCTCTGAAATGGACTGAAGCGTCTAATAAATAAAAAGAAAAAGCTCATCTCTAAAATGAATTGACCTTAGACAAGGGATGCTATCCCATAAATTTCCTACCACCCTCAGAACGTATTCGAACACCAAACCGATCTTCCTGGATATAAAATAAATTCTCGCGACACACGAAAAACGTAAAAATTAACTTCCACTTTTTACACTCATTAGCATACTTTAATTAGACGTCGGAGAGCACGTGGTGGTGCTCGAATCACGGTTCACTTTACGTTTCCGCCTCGTGATTTGCGTGGTTCTCGACGAACGATATCTCCCTTCCCTTCGTAGAACCACACACGTCGAACAAAGTGATATGCACAGAGACGGGAGAAATAAAGGAAAACCGCGCGGATAGTCGATATTAAGTGGTTTTCCACCTGACGGATCGCGGTCGGGATGAGTCTCTCTCTTTTCTCGTCGGGTGAGTTCACTGGGGGGTGGTTCGCAGAGGTTGGTTCACGAGGGGGTGGTTCAGACCGGGACGGTCACGGAATAGAGAGCGTCGGTGTCGACGAGGAAATAAAATAGGCGTTCGAGTGTGCACGGGGAATGGTTATTGTGTTGCCACAGGCTTATCGAACATCAAGACTCCTACGAGGGGTGAGTCGGAGCTGGGTAGGACGAAACGTACCGAGAAAGAGAGAGAGAAAGAGCACTCGATAAAAATAGAATTTTCCCCGGGTGCGTAACGGGAAGTACGGTTTATTAACACTTCGAGCGGGAACAGGAGGTGGATTGTTTTAGAGAAAAATGATTCTCCTTTCGCAGGGAACGAAACAGTTGCTGGAAAATTGGTAAACGGATTTATATTCCCCGTCTCGTGTATGCGCATGGAAATGAAAGATAGCATGGCAAGCATATCGATCTTGTTAGTCGATAAAAATGTATCGGAACCATTCTCATCCAGACTATGTATTGTGCCATTTTTTGGTACCTTATTATACTGTTATAGCAATACTACCATGTTCATAGTTTCCTTTTGTATTGATACTTCATTGCGTGAAGTACTCTTCCCTTTTATACACATTTCTATTGATAATTGTAGTATAATGTTATTTATTATAAGTAAAATACTATAATCACGTTAATGTGAAATGATTATACTGGTTTATTATTAATTAACACTACAACTAGGCACTTGCCCCTCCCCCATGTATGGAAGAAAGTGGCATTTGCCACACTCTACAAAAAAATTGCCCCCGCCCCCCTTATCATACCATTATAATGTATTATGGTAATGTTACAAAATCATTGAAACGTCATCAATAAAATTATAAATTTCCAACTGATTTGAATCATTTTGAAGCGTGATCGCTCAAAGTATTGAGCTCATTATCTGGTAGTTTCAATTAGAACGTATTATCGAGACTTCGCCACATCTCTGGGATATAGGTCGAAGCCCTTCAAAGGATGAAAAGCCTCGACCACGAGAAAAGTCCCTCGATACCATTCTTGACAACTTTTCTAATTAACCCGGCGTTTATAACGCGAGAAATCGGGGTTCAGAGTCATCTCGATTCGGTCGTAAAGGTGAAAAAGTGTGACACACACGGAGTGACTTACCTAGGTGATGGTATGGGGCGAGGCTTATCAAGCGCCAGATCTGAGCTCAGGGGCGAATCGGGTCCGCGGACGCTGGAAGCCCTATAGAAACAGAATAATCGTTAATTCAGATACTAATCGGAAGCCAACAATCTATCTTGGGGCTCTCTTACGTCTGCTTATCAAATTCAACGTCCAATAGATTGTAGGTGTGAGTAACTTATCGTTCACAAATTCGCACATCACGATTGTCATAAATAAATCGTGGATTTTATGCATTTATCGCTCAAATGAATTATTAAATCTCGTTTACTAAGTTCGTACATAGAACTCTGTAATTGCATAAACATCCACGGTCTACTTATAAATATCCTCCACTTAATTCTACAACTGTTTACTGTCTTTGAATCGTAACGTAGATCACTATAAACCGATACTGTTCGAAGAGTCACACATAGAGAGTTAGCGCATGCGCAGGAAGTAACGACCTTCTGTCGGTCAACCGTACAGAAATTATAGGTTAAATATGTGAGAACGACTCTTTAACAATAAATACTAAATCTGCGTAATTGATTATCAATTATTAAGTAAGGAGCAGTGTCTTTTATATGGAAGAAGCACTTGTGGCATCTTTGCATCTTATTTTAACCGTTATTTCACTCAAATCGAGAAAAGATCACAACAAACACCCCTACACACTCGACACATGCGCGTGACTGTCTTAACGATTACCTGTCCAGTGCGCATGCGTTGACCAACGATCGAGTATCAACCGCGAAATGTTGAAAACAACGTATGTACTCATTTTTATAAACGACCATTTAATAATCAGAGTAAGACAATAAAATCTGTACAAATATTTCGAAAACACCTAATATATTTTTTTACAATGTTTAAAGTTTCTCCCAGAAACTATACTTGCCATACTTTTATATTTCAAAGAATATCGATATATCGATTTGAATTTAAAACGGTTTCGACTTACTGAACAGCTGCTGGAATTACTATAATTACGACGTGAAAATAAAATCTCTTCGACCGGCCGTAAATTACACGGTTGTCCGGTTGAAATTATTGGAAAATGAATATCTCCGGTAGGCAGGTCAAACGATTATTCACAGAACCTGCGTTTTTCCCGAGAACGCTGTCTGTACCCGTACAACGTACCGAGAACGCTTCGCCAACTTCACGTGAGTACACACGCGATGAAATATTCGCTGATACCCTTTTCTTAAATATCCTTCACTGTAATATGCACGTAATGCGTTCTACTTACGTAACATTCGTAAGTGTTATTTCGGTTTCACAAATCGACCAGGACTGTGTATCGATGTTAATGCAAAATTCATTTTCAGTGAGCCACACCTCGATGGCGAACTCTATTTTTGTCGGTTGCAACAGCTCCTGTCGCCTGCATATCGGAAAGACGAAGTCGGGAATAGTGGTGCGCAGTTACGCAATAACGATTCAGTTCGCGTTTCGTCCGTATTACGACGCAATATTTATATTTCATTCGTGCGACACATCGATATCGGGAGTGTTTTTTCGCACGAGCAGACCGTAACTCAACTTCTGGCGCCCGGCAATGTGACATGAATTAATAAGCTTGTGAAACAAACGCGACTGATTCGAACATCTTACACGCGATCACTGGATTCACATCCGTCGTATTGCGTCGAGTTTCTCGGCACCCTGAGATTCCAGGAAAGATAATAACAGTATACCTACAGTTACAACAAGTTGATACTACGAGAAACGTAAGTTGATGTTTACGTGACACCAATCCAGACCCCACAGATTGGAGTTGACATACGTATATTACGGCTTGCGTACACGGACCGAATGAATTCAAGTTAGAGAGAGTTGGGGCGTATCAATTGAGGAGTAAAGGACTCAAAGGAGATCATTCTAGGACCAAGAGACTCGAGTTGGATACACCCAAGGAGCGAAGGGTTCGAATCGGACCAACTTAGAGAGAAGATCCAAATCTGAAGATCCTGGGACACAGTGACATAAGCTTGGGGATCCTGGGACCTGGCGATTCATGCCTAGATGTCCCAGAACCCAGAGCTGAGGATTCCAGAAGACAGCAGACCTAGGGATCCAGACCTAAGGATCTTAGAACCTGAAGGCCCAGACCCAGCGATCTATATTGGGGGTTTCTAAGTCTAGAGATGAGTCGTAGCGTCTGCAGTGTTGAGTCCCAGGGAACTTCAGATTTAAGCCCTGAGTTCTACAGGCTTGAGTCCCGGGGTCCTGAGGTCCCAAGGCTTGGGTCCTCAGAGTATTTGCTTATTGCTCTTTACATATTGCTCTTTCCCACGTTGTTTGGACTGAGGTTTTTATATTTGCAAAGTTCCATTAAGGTCACAGACATATTTTTTGTTTATATTCCCTGTATTCAGAATGTGCTTACTGCACACAGTTCTATTTGAAAATGCAATAGGCACGTATAGATATAAATGTAATGGTAGAACGGTGAATGAAAAAGCAATATGTACCTACTATTACAAGCAATTCTACCTGTTCTGCTTGTTTACTCATCCTCCATCATCAATCATTTTGGCACGAAGGCGCCATTTGTTCCAACTATGAACACATTTACCCGACAGAAGAACTTTCTAATACTATGATTAATGCGCGGTTTGAGATGGTTCGGACACTAGTTAAGAAGTTTAACCGAACGGACCGATACTCCGAGCCACTGTTTCGCTATCCCCCATCCTTAATCCTCCGAAAACTGTTCTCCATGCTAAGAGAAATTACGACGGCAATTATTCCTATGTTTTGTAACCAACTGTCTTAATCCACAAGCCATGATTAATCGCTATTTCACAAGCTTGGCAATGGCGCCAGCTAGAATATACCATAGTGCTACAAAAACTGGCGAGCTACGTCAACACGCTTTATCTGTTCCATTATCAGGGATTATACAGCCCATTTACAGTGAAGTATTTATGCATAAAATAAAAATAAAGTACAGTCTTACTTCTACTTGGAATAGTATATGTTCAAATGACAGTTGAAAAATGTTTCAAATAAAAGTTGAATGGTTTCAGGGAAGAAATGATTTGATGTGAATAGTTTTTTGTAGGTGGACGCGTAGAGAACATGTGAAGGTCAAAATAATTTTTTTAAATGCAATCAAATTTTTTAAAGCATTAGTCACTGCACCTCGTCATTCTCTATTAAAACATACACTATAAGAACTTAAATTAAGGTTTTAAATCCATTATCTTAATTGATAGAATAAAAACGCTCATGTTCCCTTAGATTTCTTTCTGCACTGCATCCGAATCGACAATAATTACCCAAAAAACATTGTACATGAAACATACCGTAAGTAACTTTGATATCAGTCAGGGTAACTTTGTCCCAAGCCAGAAAATGATAATTTTACATTTCGCAGCCCTATAAATTGTTAAATTAAGTTCACTTTTACTTGAAAATGTATTTCACGTAACAATACCCGCAAAAACAGCAGCAAAATCGAAAATGATCATTTCCTGACTTTGGGGCAAACGTACCCCTGCCTGAGTCCAAGTGACACCAACTTACGGTATGTAGTATTTTTATTTTCATATATTATTTCAATATTCGAACAGGTATATTTTGCCCACAGCAATTACCATAAGTTATGATTCATAACGCTCACAAAACGATCGTTCAGACAAGCATCGCCGGTCAAGCGAAACCAGGAATTCGTTTCACCGTTTCGAGAGGCCAAGACACTTGTTCCCGTGATTAATACCCGGCCGGAAAGTAAATATATTTCAGCGTAACGAGATGGTCATGCTGGAGGGGAGGGTGGGGGATATTCCAAGTGGATTCGCCAGTCAGAAAACGTGTAATTACGGGACCGCGGCTAATTAATAATAATCATCCGCGGATCGGTGTCCGTGATAATGCCTGTATATTATCGCGGGCCTCCAGCACGAAGCCAGTCGCTTGTAATTACGTCCGTGCTCAGAAGTGGCGATCCGTAGGGCGGCCTAGGTTCACGCGTATTCATCTCAATTAAAATGCCGGTTCGTTCTGAAAACGTCCACGATTGCTTGTAACGCCGCTAGATCCGTCATTAATCAATTAAGACCATCCCGGGTGTAGATGGTTGTAATTAGATCCGCGAGTGCCGGGCCCGCTTGTCCGATCGATTTTGCAAACGCCAAAGAACCCGTTCCTCTTCGAGTAATGCACTGTACGCACGTTCAACGTATCGATCTTAACCCAGCAATCATCTTGATGTTACTATTCATAGAAGGAAAATGTATATAAGGGATTATTGATCGAAACTGAGGTCTAAAAATAGATAAAGAAGAATTAATGGCGAACAAATACCTTTATGTACCTACAATATAATTGTAATTAACTATACTAAATTTACAATAAAAATCACAATGTACTTGAAATTTAGATTTTGTAATTAGATTACATTTTGCCCAACTCTGATCCGAATATGTAGACTGATTGTAAATTTAAAAAATTTTTTAAGTTTCGTGTAGAAATTGACTACACTTTTAATACAATCGAGATCTGTCACAGCATTCGTGAAGGTAGCCAGCGACCTTCCATACTCCTCTAGAGTATCGTATAAGTATAAAAAAAAAAGGCATTGAGGAACATGTATAAAAGAAACCGTGCAGCTCTAGAATTGCCTCCGTGTAATTGACAAAACACGAGTCCACGCTCTGGTGGTCTTATTCTGTTCATAGATCCCCGGCGGCATCATTATTTCCACGCTACTATTCGCACCGAAGGGGATTTCGTTCTGATTTTATTCTGCGAGACGAGATCGGTGCACGGAGCAGGAAGGGGCGAAAAAACGGATCGATTTCTCGCGCACCAGAGACTGAATACACAGAACATGAATTTCCACGACATGCATTCCACGAGTTCCAATTAATTGAACAATTCCGAGGAGATGGATGTTGTTGTGGACATTTCGCAGTGAAATGCGCCTTGTTCCTATTGTTACAGGCGCTGTGAATCATTTTTATAGTAATTTCTCGTGTAAAGGAACACGGTCGTAAAACTGCATCTACTCTATCTGTATTCACCCCTAATTGGGGAAGTTTGAGGTATCTCATAAATATTTCTAGACT